ATATCTTTATCGAGTTTCGAGAATTGCTATATCTTCATATGCATAATAAACTATCATATACTATTATATAACTATAATATAATGAAGCTGAATAGTTGGAAACACTCAAAAATTACAAAATTGGATGAGGGTACATACAGCCGCCTCTCTAAAGAGGTAACTGGAGATTTTCACAGTGTCTTAAAATCTCTGGATTTCTAAACCTGCTGTTTAATGAATGACTCTGTAACGGTGGGCGTTTACAAGCGTCTACAGATCATGGTGGCGCCTGAGATGTACGTGACAAAGTTATATTCGTTGCAACTGATTGCTTCTTTCGGAAAAGGAGATGTGGCTTGAACATGATATCTCGTAAAGGTTTGTTGAAAGCCACGGGGACAACACTGTAACAATCACATTATTTCGCTGTCTAACCGACCATATTCTTACCCGTAACTGATGTGAGCAAGCTCCCAGTTCAAACAACATGTTACAAATATTTGCATTCTCGTGGAAGCGAATTTTGCAACAACAATAAACGATAAAATTGCAAGTAGAAGAATGATGCTTTGAGAACAACCCTACAAAATTTATCTTTTACAGCTTCTAGTTTCAAAACTTTTCCTTATGGCATATGTTCCATGGCAGCACAGTATTGCATTACCTGAGCAAAAAATAAGATATTCTTCTTCAGCCTCAACTTTTCGTGGTTAGTTTTTTGACCATTGGTATGACGTAGCATCTAAATTAATCATGATGAGACAATTGAAAAAGCGAGTGACATGTTCAAGTGTATTGGTAGATATTGTTTGGTGGCCCAAGTCGCAAACATCAAGCATTAGCATACTATAAATTGTTTCTTATCTAATCATGTTAATGATGTTGATTCAGAACTAGATTTATCTGGACCGGCTTCACCCGTTGCACCGCAAGAACCTGTAAGACTTAGAAAATTCTGTTAACACTTACTTTTGTCTTCTTCCATATACAGCAGAATGTTATCGTGTCAATGAAGAATATCACACCACAAACACATGCGGCATGACCCGAAATCATATAGATGACCAGCACATATCCACATATGGTGGGACGAAAGAGCCACATAAAACTGGAGCTGTCAAACCACAGTGCGCAATCATCTGTTAACATCCTCTATCAGGCTACACAGTTCAATATTTATTAGATAACCAGCTTACACGGGCTGAAAGCCAATGCATGGAGTACTGATATAATCCAAAAAAATCCGATGAAGTAAATTAAGGTCCTCCCCGTGAAAAAATCACTGAAATGCGTTAAAACGTCATAAATCTTTTCATTACATCATGTACTCACTTGTATCTGACGGGAAAAGCTATTGCAACAAGGCGGTTTATAGCGATTTGCAGCTGGCTATATATGGAACCATACCAGAACACCAGGTAAATCTGTGCAACTCTTGAACCGACGAAAGTATTTGTGATTGAAGCATCAAGCTGCCTTAAGCAAAGCAAAAATGCCTTATATCTATGCTTATCTGCAGATCCTCACAAAAGTGTTGCTGGGGCGCTCCAAAATACATATATTAACAGTTCTCCGCTATTTGATACTAAATGTAGAATGGATATAAGTCCGAAAGCATTGTGAAATACTGGTGTTCGTAAGAGCGCCATAATCACGATTGTGTTGATGATTAACCCTATGATTGCAAGCTGAAAGAACAACACCTAACTGATGCAATTTATTAAGGATTCTTACCACTCCAGAGAGAGCACCGGCAATGATGTGTTCCCCTTCAACATCTGTGGTGGTATTGCCACTCATTTAAATGAATTTGAAAATATTTTCGCGGGAGCAAGTCTGTGTTTACGAAAAGGAATTAAGGTATGCAGGAGAAAACATAGGGATCTTTTTCAAATCAACTACGTGTTAGAATTTGTGAAGAGAAGCAATGAATTTGAAAATTTGCTAGCTGGAATTGTTTTTGACCGTTGTTTCCGGAAATTAACTGGCAAAATTGCTATATTGTAAACAAAGGAAATGAAAGAGCCACAATAATACTTAGTTATGTCTATTTGGTTCCAGTACAGGGAACAGAATTTGTCTCGCTCTGCAAATTCTATTAGATGATGCAGAAACAGGTATTCAAAATTATATCTGATTGCTTGCTAAAATATATCTGATTGCTTGCTAAAATATATAAGAAGATAGGAGCCTGAAAAGCATTTGGCTGCTGTGGGCCAGTGTCAAGATGTCGGCTGCCATGCAATACCTTTGATACGACATGTAGTGCCTAGAAAACTGCAAAAGAAAACTAACATCTCGTGAAAATGCAAGAAAGATCTTTCTTGAGATTTTGTTATATCAGTCGCTGCATTCGATTGTCACCAAGTTGCTAAAGTTCTTTTTTACCTTTTTTCTGATGATTGCGCAGTTTATTATTGACAGTATTCAAATGCAAACTCCAGGCGTCTATTCTTGCTTTCTGATCCTAATGCTTTCAAACAAAGCAAATGTTCTTAGTTAATTACTAACATCATTATTTCGCTGTACCTCAATACCTAAAGCCATGTACTTTGAACCTTCAATATCTGGGCGACAAAAGAGCATCGCCCTCATCAGTATAGAACGTGAAAACGGCACGGCGAAGCTCCGGATACTTTGCTCGGTACCATATCAAATTGATTGTGAATGACAGGAGAAGAGCGAATGAGGTGACGAAATAATCCAGCAATATGAAAATCGGGTTTTATGACCTTTTGCTAAAAAGAAGGTTTTTGCAGATTTCCCTAGAAACAGCAACTTTGTTTCTAACATAATCGGTCCTTGCATCATGAATGGGTTGCGAAACAGTGAAGATTGATGTAGTTTAGCAAGAGCAAGAGATTAGCTCAAGACTTGAGCAAGTGCTGCACACAAAAATCTGGATTCATCCCATTATAGAGTGCTGTTCAACCTCGGCGACGTCATCAGGACATCATTCGTCTCATGACGGTCGGAAGGTCATATAATGCAGGGGTTCAGTCAAGAACCTGCGAAGATCTACGATCGGAGCCAACTACGTTAGCCTTTTGGTGCAGCAGGCACGTTTGCTTTGATTTCTTGACCTTGCGGATTTTCAGGCAGACTCCGTAGCAGTAAAACGCAACCATTTCTTCATTCTTGAAGGCAGCGTCCGGGCAAAAAGTCTAGTTTGAGATTTTATGCTTACCCGGGCCTTTTTACTATGCTGAATCCAATTATCCACACTGGAGAGCAAGAAAACAGCGAAAAAGAGCTTTGACGTAGGGGGACGCAGCGGATGGGCGGGTCCTCCGCACTGTGGATAACGCGCTCCCAGCTTCCGGAGCGATTTTCGGGATCCCGCTAGCCGCCCTAACA